AGAATCATGGTGTGCTGAGGATTTGAGGAATGGGTGATTATGGTTTTCTGAGGATTTGAGGACTCTGTTCTGAGAATTTGAGGATTATGATGTCTTGAGATTTTGAGGATTATGGTGTTTTGAGAATCTGAGTATTATATGATACTCTGAGGATATGAGGATTATGATGTTCTGAGGTTTTAAGTATTATGGTGTTCTTGTGAATTTGAGGATTATGGTGTTTTGAGGACATATGAATTACGGTGTTTTGAGGATTTGAGGATTAGAGTGTTCTGATGATTTGGGTATTATGGTGGTCTGAGAATATGAGGATTATGGTCTTCTGAGGTTTTGAAGATTATAGTGTTCGGAGGATCTTAGAATCATGGTGTGCTGAGGATTTGAGGAGTTGATAATTATGATGTGCTGAGGATTTGAGGATTCTGTTGTTCTGAAAACTTGAGGATTATGATGTTCTGAGGATCATGGTGTTTTGAGGGTTTGAGGATCATGGTGTTCTAAGGTTTTAAGTATTATGGTATTCTGTGGATTTAAGGATTATAGTGTTGTGAGGATCTGAGGATGATGTTGTTTTGAGGGTATGATAATTACGGTGTTTTGAGGATTTTAATGTTCTAAGGATTTGAGGATTATGGTGTTCTGAGGATTTGAGGATTATGGTGTTCTGAGGTTTTGAGGATTATAGTGTTCTGAGGATCTTAGGATCATGGTGTGCTGAGGATTTGAGGAGTAATGATCATGGTGTTCTGAAGATTTGAGGATTATGATGTTCTGAGATTTTGAAGATTATAATGTTTTGAGAATAATAGTGTTTTGAGCATATGTGAATTATGGTGTCTTGAGGATTTAAGGATTCTGTTGTTCTGAGAATTTGAGGATTATGGTATTCTGAGAGTTTGAGAATATGAGGATTATGATGTTTTTAGGTTTTGAGGATCTGAGGATCATAGTCAATTGAGGCTCTGACGATTTGAAAATCATGGTGTTTTGAAGATTTAAGATTCATGGTGTTCTGAGGATTTGAGGATTTTGTTGTTCTGAGGATTTAAGAATTATGGTATTCTGAGATTTTGACGATTATAGTGTTCTGAGGATCTGAGGATTGTGGTGCTCTGAGGATATGAGGATTACGATGTTCTGTGAATTTGATGATCATGGTGTTCTGAGGTTTTGAGGATGATGGTGTTCTGAAGATTTATGAATTGTCTTTTTTTTAACTATAAAAGAACATTGGGAACCTGTTAAGTTTTATTTTTACAAGAATTGGAAAATAATCTAGGGGGTTCTGTTTTTAAATGGTTTGAAAGAATTTTAGGGCACTTTAGTCTTTCTTAGCTTACACAGGGCGATTAAAAATGACTCTCAAGAATTATAAAAAAAAATGTTAGAAAATTGCTCAACTAAATTTTTGAAAATGTTAAACTTCAAAGTTGAAGAGTTAACTTCGTAATTTTGATATATGTTTTAATGTGAATTTAATCAATAGTCTAAAATGTCGATAAAAATTGTAAAAAAAATCTGGCAACAGTAAAATTAATTCGTAAATCGAAATGAATGAAATTATGATCAAATTATAATAACTAATTATTATTTAATTGTCTATTAGAATAGAACTACAAAGTTAAATCTTCAACTTTGAAGTTTAACATTTTCAAAAGTTTGATCAACGGATTTTTTAACCATTTTTTTTTCGAATTTTTCGGAGCCTTAGCAAGGTACCATCGAACTTATTGGTCATTTTTTGATCACCCTGTATAAATTTGTAGAAAATCTTGTTCTCAATTGAATAATAATTTTTCTTTGAGTTTTCGTTTATTATGTTAAAATTTCTCAAAATATTAATGTTTTTGAAGCGATTAAGTTTTTTGTTTCAAAGAGTTGTATTACGTAGTGTGAAAATTCTATTTCAAAAAACCACCAAAAATTTTCGGGTGTTTTCTTTTTGTAATATCCCAGTAAGTAAAATTTTTATTTTATCGAGCAGACATTTTTTTTTCTACATTTTAAGCTTCGTATTTTTAAGACAACAAATTCTGAGAAATAAACCCAGAAGTATCATTGAATATGAACACAAAATTAACTTAAAAAAAATAATTTAAAAGTACAGAAATGCAGAAATGTATGTTTTATTTGTAATTTATTAAGTTTAAGGTATTGAGATTTTTGTATGAAAATTACGAACAAAATAATCTGCTCACAGTTTTGAGGTTATTATTTCTCAAGAACGGAAATGTTTAAATTTAAAAAACCATGTTTTGAGTGAAATTGAACAACTAAACAAAATAAAAAAGTCTCCATGAACATTAGTAGGAGTGGGTGCTAAAATTATAGTTTTATATTGATATTAAGGACATTTAGAAGAAGAAACCGACATTTTGGGAAGAAAGCAGAAATTAAAGAGAAAACATTAAAAAAATTTTTCAGTTTCAAACTAAACTAGAAGACAAAGTACCAAGATGTTTTAACATTGATCTTCACATTTTTGAATGACTTTCAAACCAAAAAGTCAAAACCAAAAATATTTTGACCTTTCTTCCAAAGATCTTTTTTTAACTTTAATATAACTTCTACAAAAATTTATTGTCAATTTCGCAAAATACTCTTATTAATCTTTTTTGAGGGTATGAAGTTTCTTTGTTTAAAAAGCTTTTAAAATTAGCACGACGAAATCTAAATTCCAGAATTTTTTGGCAACTTTTCAAAAGCAAAATTTTAAAAATTTCGTCCAGTTTTCGACAATTTCAACTAAATGAACAAAATTGAACTAAACATTTTTTCTTATAGATTCCAATCTCCAGAAGTCATTTCTTCGAAAGCTCCTTACCATTTTTCTAGAATGGCAACTGAAATATTGCAAATTTTAGGATTTAAAAAAAAAAATTACAAACCGAATATTTTGTAGTCTTGAAACAGTAGCATAATCACGCTATGTTTTTGGAATTGGCATGTCGAAGTTCCTAAAAAGTTCTGTAATTTTTTAGGAATTTTTTAGTAAATTTTTCAAAAGTTAACTTTTTCAAAATGAAAATTTTGGACAATTTTCCAAATTTAACTAAGGCCGGGAGTACAAAAAGTACGCTTTTAGAATCAACAGGACGAAATCTAAATCCTAGAATTTTTTGGGAATTTTTCGGCTACTTTTCAAAAATAAAAGTTATTCTATTCACCTAAAAATTTCGGCCAATTTTTTGAAAATTTTATTCTTATAAATTTTGACCTCTTCAAGTTAGTTTCTGCTTCATTCCTTCCATAATTCCGTACATTTATCCAGAACCGCCCACTGAAATATTGCAATTTTTTGGATTAAAAAAATAAATGTTTTTGGGAACCAATTTTTTTTAATATTGCACCGGGAGAGTAAACAGACCATTTTTGTGCAATCAGCACGACGAAATCATTGGGAATTTTTTGGCAACTTATTCCAAATTTTAATTTTTCAATACTCACCATTATAAAGATTTTTTTTATATTTTTGAAATTCAAATCTTGTAGATTTCGACTTCCAGAAGTTGCTTTCGATCCTAGTTCTTCGATGAACTCCTACCATTACTTCAAAATCGCTAAATTAAAAATATGAAAAAAACTAGAATTTTTTGAAAAATTAAATTTCAAACCGAATATTTTTTAAATCAGCCCGTCCAAATGAACCTATATGTATACCAGAATTTTTGGGATTTTTTCGGTAACCTTTTCAAAATTAAAGTTTTTCATCTATGAAAAGTTTGGCGAATTTTCTACAATTTTCGAAATTTAGCCAAAAACTTTTTCTTATAGATTTTGACCTAAAAAATTGGTTTCGGAATCATGTCTTCCATAGCTCCTACGATTTTTCCAAATCGCCCTCTTGCAAATTTTTGGATTTAAAAAAAATATATTTTCAAACTGAATAATTTTAAATCTTCCACCGGAAGCATAATTAGACTGTTTTTAGAATCAGCACGACAAAATCTAAATCCTAGAATTTTTTGGAATTTTTCGGCAACTTTCCAAAATAAAAAGTTTTTTGGCCTATAAAAATTTCGGCCAATTTTCGACAATTTTTTAAATTCAACCAAAGACTTATTCTCATAAATTTCTTATATTTTTGGAATCAGCCATCGAAATCGGTTTACCAGAATTTTTGAAAATTTTTCGGCCACTTTTTTAAAATCAAAATTTTTCTCCTATGAAAATAATAATAATATATAGTAATAAAATCTTATTATATAATTTGGACTTTTTATGGAACAATATTTATGACAATAACTCAAATCGGATTCATAGATCACAAGTATTACAAAATTTAAATGGTTGCTAGAGAAATTCTGGTTATTGTTCTATCAGCTACACGAAACGGGGGACCTATTTTTATAATCTAGATGTCAAGAAACATCTAAAAAACATGAAAGTATTTGAATCTCCAGAACACTTTTTTTTCATCTATATATAGCTTAGTAGACTTTACATCATTAAAATCATAAAACACATTGACCTGACCTGACCTGACTCGATTTAACCTGACCTGACATGACTTTTTCAAATAATATAACTGAAGAACGCCTAGAATAGTGACCTGTATGTAGATTCTAACTATAGCCAAAATCTTTACAATAAAAGTGGTGTTATTACTAATCAGTTAATCACAGAGATACTTTGTACTTGTTTATTTCTGTTGTTTTACCCAAAACTTTATCCTCTTTGGTCCCAAATCTCTCCCTATGTTCCAATTACTTAAAAAGTTTTGATAGTTTCGCTCATTTCCTGTCCCTTTTTTCAACTTTCCCTTGTACAGCAAGCCATTGTTCCTTCCTTTGCCTCTTCATCTACTTTAAACACTTACGTATACCTCGCACTCAACCCCTCGAACACGAAAAATGACACACATCCCAGAGATCCGATATTTGTCCCCGGCCCGAAATATCGCATTTCCGAGTAGGTTTTACTGCAGAAAATAGCTTCGTCAAGCAAAAAAAACGCGCATAATAAAGACATCTCATAAATTATTCCCATTCTTTTTTCAGGTAGCAGTTCTGCTGGCCTACGCAGTTCTCACAACAAGAAGAGTCACATGTGCCGCGATCCACGCTCCCTTAGACGTAATTTCATTAGAAGATATTACGGAAACTGACAGAAGACATTTAGAATACTTAAACAGCTATTACAACTACCCCTCAAGGTCTAAGAGATCGGGGGATGACGCGCTCAATCATTTAAAAGCATCGATAGGTCAAGGCATTAAATCTAAATTAGGGTTGCTAGCTAAGGGTTCGGCTTCAGCAAGCGGCAGCTTCAGCAAAGGAAGCAAAAGTTACCACCACCATGACGTGCATCCAGACGTAAGTACACAAAGTGCGGTTTTCTTTAAAGTGTTTTCATAAACAGAGAAATGTTCGAGCTCTTGTCGGATAGCGTAATCGATTCGAGTCGGTTTTATTATTTCCAAGTTTATTGTATTAGTTCTGCTGCAATTGACGATATATGAGGGTGTAACTCTTGAGAACTGTTTGAGTTTCTTAAGCTCGTTTCAAACTTATGTTCTATTGGTTTTTAAGCGACGTGGCTGCAGAGTTCTTGGTTATATTTTTCAGTTTCAATTTTTCAGGCGCTCGATTGTTGTAGACTCACTTGGGAAACAATCTGTTATTTGTTGGTGGACATGATCTCGTTTTGTCTAGACTAGATTTTCAAGTAAAATTCAGAAAAAAAATTCTCAAGTAATATATAGAAATAAAATTTCGTTCCTGAGTTTTATCGATCTCACAAATGTTTTTATGTAAATATTTAATCTTTTAACCAAAAATATGAAGTAGATTACAATCTGCGGTTGCGGTAATTCGTTTCATGTTCTTAAAACCGCTAAAATTAACACTTAAGTTAATTAGGTGAAGGAAATTTCCTTACAAGACAATACTAAAGAGTGAGAATTAGACGCTTTATCGTTGCAAATAGAGTTAAAAATTACCATCATTGTTCTAAATCGCATTAAAACGATCTCTGCATTTACGATTTGAACAACAATGCACTCGACAATTTTACTATAATTTTTACTTCCGGAGCATAAGCGGGCGACTGACTACTTTTATGTTTTCTCCAGGTTTCATGACCCCTACCCTCCAAAATTTATATTAGTAAATGTTATTTAAGTTGACTTATGAATGCGTGCTGAATTTTTATCCAAGATACCGAGATTCTTGGAAAAAAATTAAATTGTACAATTTTTCGAATCTTCAATTTTTTGAGTTTTCGATCTTTGGAATTCTCGATTTTTCAAGTTTAGATTTCTCGATATTTCAGTTCTGAGATTTTTCAGTTTTACGGTTTTTCAATTCTTCAATTTTTCGATTTTTTTAATATATCAATTTTTGGCGTTTCCATATTTTCGATTTTTTGATTTTTCGACTTTTCGATTTCTCGTTTTCTCGACTTTTCGAATTTTCGATATTCAGATTTTGAATTCTTCAATATTTCTTTTTTTCAATCTTTCTATTTTTCAGGTAATTGATTTTTCAACTTTAAGAGATTTTTCCGTTCCGAGATTTTTCAGTTTTTCCATGTTTCCGTTTTGAGATTTTTGAGTCTTTTGATTTTTAAATTTTTAAATTTTTTAATTCCTCGATTTTCAAACCTTTTCAATATTTCGATTACTCAGTTTTTAGATATTTCATTTTTGGGATTTTTCCATTTTTCAATTTCTCGATTTTTGTATTTTTCTATATTTTCAATTTTTCGACTTCTCGACTTTTAGACTTTTAGATTTTTCGAATTTTCGATATTTTGATTTTCCCATTTATCAGTTTTTCAATTTTTCAATGTTGCGGTTCCTCGATTTTTCGATTTTCAGACTTTCGATTCTTAAATTTTTCGATTTTTTAATTATTGCTCCATTTTCAATTTTTCATTTACTCAATTTTTCGATGTTTCATTTTTAGGATTTTTCAATTTTTTGTTTCTTTAATTTCTCGATTTTTTGAATTTTCGATTTCTCGATTTCTCTATTTTCCAATATTTCAGTTTTAGGATTTTTCAATTTTCCGATTCCTCAATTTTTTCACTTTGAAATTTTTCGATTTCTCAATATTTCAAATTTTTTGCATTATTATATTTTCGATTTTTCGATTAAATTATTTTTAGACTTTTTAATTCCTCCATTTTTCGACTTCTCGGCTTTTCGACTTTTTTCGATATATATTTTGATTTTCCCATTTTTCGATTTATCACGATCTTTTGATTTTTCGATGTCTCAGTTTTTGAAATTTTCGATGCTTCGATTTTTCGATTTTCCAGGTTTTTGATGTTTCTATTGTTCAATTTTTCGAATTCCCAATGTTTATACAATCCAATTTTTCAATTTCTCGATTTTTCAATTTTTTGTTTTTAAATGTTACGTTTTTCGATTTTTCAATTCTTTGATTTGATTTGATTTTGCGCTTTCTCGATTTCTCAATTTTTTAATTTTTAATTTTTTAATTTTTTGAGTTTTCGATTTTTCGATTTCTCATTTTTGCTTTTTAAAATTATTTACTTTTCAATGTTTTTATTTTTCACTGTCTCGATTTTACTTTTTTTCATTTCTCAGTTTTTGGATTTTTAATTTTTCGTTTTTTCGGCTTTTCAGTTTTTTTTTTTACTAAATGTTTGATGCTTTTTTTCAGTTTTTCTATGTTTCTATGGTTTTCAATTTTGAATTTGCAAATTTTTTAACTTTCATATTTTTCAATTTTTAGAAATATCAATATTTCGATTTTTAATTTTTCGCTTTTTAGTTTCTCGATTTTTACTTTTTTCAATTTTTTTTCGACTTTTCGACTTTTTTCGATATATATTTTGATTTTTCCATTTTTCGATTTATCACGATCTTTTGATTTTTCGATGTCTCAGTTTTTGAAATTTTCGATGCTTCGATTTTTCGATTTTCCAGGTTTTTGATGTTTCTGTTGTTCAATTTTTGGAATTCCCAATTTTTGTACAATCCAATTTTTCAATTTCTCGATTTAAATGTTACATTTTTCGATTTTTCAAATTCTCGAACTTACGATTTTTAATTTTTTAATACATATTTCAATTTTCCGATTTTTCGGTTTTTCAATGTTTAAAGTTCTTCCATTTTTCAAGTTTTCAAGTTTTCGATTTCTCAGCCTTTCAAAACCCCAATTTTGGAAATTTTTTCGATTCATGGATTTTTCATTTTTTAAAATTTTAATTCTAGATTTTTCAATTTCTCGATTTTCTGTTTTTCAGTGTTTCAGTTTATCCATGTTTCAGTCTCGGGATTTTGCAGTTTTTTCAATTTTAAACTTTTGGATTTTTCCATTCCTCGACTTTCCAATTTTCTATTTCTTTGTTATCTATAATTGGATTACTCAAGTCGATATTTCATTTTTGGGATTTTTCAATATTTTGTATCTTCAATTTCTCGATTTTTGTATTTTTCGATTTCCCCATTTTTCGATATTTCAGTTTTACGATTTTTAAATTTTTCGATTTTTTAATTGTCTCTATTTTCAATTTTATTCAATTACTCAATTTGTCGCTATTTCATTTTTGGGATTTTTCAATTTTTTGTTTCTTCAATTTCTCGATTTATTAAATTTTATGACAAAGTTTCAGTTTTAGAATTTTTCAATTTTTCGATTCTTCAATATTTTGGATTTTAAAATTTTTCGATTTTTCAATATTTCAGTTTTTGGCATTTCTATATATTCGATTTTTTTCAATTCAATTTCAATTTCGCGATTTTTCGACTTCTCGACTTTTCGACTTTTTTCGATATTTTGATTTTCCCTTTTCTAATTTTGAATTCTTCCATATTTCCTTTTTTCAATTTTTCGATTTTTCAATTTTAAGAGATTTTCAATTTCTCGATTTTCAAATTTTTCAATATTTCAGTTTTTTCATGGTTCAGTTTTGGGATTTTTGTGTTTTTTTATTTTAAAATTTTTCGATTTTTCAATATTTCAATTTTTGGCATTTCTATATGAATTTTCGATTTTTCGATTAAATGATTTTTCGACTTTTAGCTCTCTCGAGTTTTTGACTTCTCGACTTTTTTCGATATTTTGATTTTCCCATTTCTTGATTTTTCGATTATTTCATTTTTCATTTTTAAAAGATTTTTTAATTTCTCGATTTTTCAATATTTCAGTTTACCATGTTTTAATTTTGGAATTTTTCGGTTTTTTAAATTTTACATTTTTCAATTTTTCAGTTTTAAAATTTTCCAATTCTTCAGTTTCACCAATTTTTTCGATTCCTCGATTTATCGAAATTTCGAAGTTTTTTAAATAAAAATGTTTAAATTTTTCAAATATTAATTGTTCGATTATCAGTTATCAGTTTTTTCACTTCTCGATTTCTCGATGTTTTCATTTTTTGAATAAAAATATTTTCGATTTTTCGATTTTCCACTTTTTTGATGTTTCGATTTTTGAGTTTTTCGAATTCCCAATTTTTCTTCAATCTAGTTTTCCATTACTCGATTTTTCAATTTCTCAGTTCTAAAATTTTTAGATTTTTCAATTTTTGGATTTTTTAAATTTTAGATTTTTCTGTTCCCCGATTTCTCATTCTTTAGATTTTTCAGTTCTTCGATTTTTTCATTTTTTTCGTTTTTTAAATGTTACATTTTTCGTTATTTTAAATTTTCGATCTTACGATTTTTTAACTTTCTAATATTTCAATTTTTCGATTTTTCCATTTTTCTTTTTTTCTGCTTCTCGGTTTTTGAATATTTAAATTTTTTTCATTTCTCGATTTGTCAAGTTTTCGATTTCTCAACTTTTCAACATTTCAAAAAATTTTTTCGATTCATGGATTTTTCAATTTTCCAATATTTTAATTCTAGATTTTTCAATTTCTCGATTTTTCTATTTTTCAATGTTTCAGTCTCGGGATTTTGCAGTTTTTTCAGTTTTAAACTTTTGGATTTTTTAATTCCTCGACTTTCCAATTTTCTATTTCTTTGTTATTTATAACTGGATTACTCAAGTTTTCGATATTTCATTTTGGGGTATTTCAACTTTTCGATTCTTCAGTTTCTCGATTTTTGTATCTTTCGATTTCCCCATTTTCCGATATTTCAGTTTTATGATTTTTAAATTTTTCGATTTTTTAATTGTTTCTCTATTATTAATTTTATTCAATTACTCAATTTTTCGCTATTTCATTTTTGGGATTTTTCAATTTTTTGTTTCTTCAATTTCTCGATTTTTTAAATTTTCGATTTCTCGATTTCTCTATTTTCTGATATTTCAGTTTTAGGATTTTTAAATTTTTCGATTCTTCAATTTTTGGATTTTTAAATTTTTCGATTTTTCAATCTTTCAGTTTTTCCATTTTT